ACTGTTTTTATTAGCAACAATAATAATAGTTTTAAAAAGTCATCTTGCACATATTAATAGGGCAGTTTATCTGTGCCAGGTTGTACGCTTAATGTTTTATATCAGAGGTTTTCCGAGTATAGTCCGGGGGACCCCAGGATCCCCAAGACCTTTCCCACAGATTGGTGAAATTAAAACTCTTTTCAGAATAACTCTAAAACATTATTTACCTTTTTCACTCTCATTCTCTTATGTGTGTATAGCAGAGTTTTCCAGGGGCTACAAGGACGTGATAACAACAGAGTGAATACAGAAGCACAGAAGAGGACCCAGTTGTCTTTATTACAACAAACATTAGAGATTTGCACACAAAAAGTAAAACAGTGCCACTCTTCTCACTCTTCTTTTTGTTTTAGAATTTGTTTAAAATGTCTCAGATTTAACTTTTAATAAAGTAACTGTTAGTAACTACCAATTTGCATAGAAAAAGCTCCTTCAAGTCCTCAGCTTTTAAGCATAAAGGGGTCTTAAGACCAATAAGTTTGAGTAGAGCCGATTCATATTTAATCCTCAACTTGTGAGGCAATGGTTCTATTCTATCATCATTCTCTTAACACAGGTGAGAACACAAATTAGAGAACAGACACAGAAGTTACTTGCTCAAGGTAACAGGAGGTGTCTCTTAAAACAGTATTGGAATATAAGTCTTGAATTCCTAACCCTAACTCCTCACCACTGAGCAACAATATCTACCCAAGAAAGTTAAAGATCACTTTTAGACAGCTACATGTTAAATCCCTGTTTAAAAGGCAATAGTCTATATTGGGTCTTTACTCTTTGTCCTTCAGTCTTAAAAAGTAATGTGTGCTCATTGGAATGCTTTCAATATACAGAATTAACTTTTTTTTTTTAAATCAAACATACAAAAATAACCTCTCATCACCACCAGCACCATAAGCACCCAGTAAGGAAAGGTACTGGTAAGAGTTTGTGCCCACTCACCCAGGATTTATTTATATACATACACACATATACTTCTTATCTGTTTAAGCACATTTATAAAATGAGATCACACTGATTTAGCAACTTGCCTTATTTCACTTAATACATCTTGAAGATCGTCATGCATCTACAAAGAGATTTACCCTCTTTTTTATAGATCACCATCATTTACTCCTACCCAACTGAGGTCCCCTAAATGACTGGCTTCCAAATTTTTCCTATTAAAACACAGACACAAGGAATGTATCTTTGTGAAGCTATGAAGCCATATCTGTTGGAAAATCCCTAAAAGTAAAATTTCTGGGCCAAAGGGTATAAACATTTAAAATCTTATTAGGTTTTGCCAAATGCCCTCCAAAATGTCTGTGCCCAATTTACATTCTCACTAACAGCATATGAGATTTCCTCTAGCAATTTAACTTTTAACTGCCTTGGAAAATTATACTACATGTTGCTTCAAAATGCCAAGTAATAAAATTGTTCTCACTGGTCATCTTAATTCCATATAAAACTCGACACAAATCTTGTAACACTCACTGAATGTACCAGTATAGTCTTCCATCTTTAATTTTTCCTTACACTTTTTAAATACCTCAGGAGGGAAAATACACCAGGTACACATAATATCTTCAACTAGCAACCCCTCAGATTTTAGACATCCTGATAAGAAGTTACCCAAATTATTTCAGGAGACTAACACAAGTCAGAATTATACTTCAAAGCTGGGCTTCCACACCAAAAACAAAAGAAAGTTATAAGTGTGGATTGATTATGCTTTATATGCCCACTCAAAGGGCTAATGCTACAAATAAAAAGCCATCATACCAGTGGTCAAATTAGCTTACATAAAATAACAAGCAACAGATTTCGTATCATAAATGTCGGTGGAACAGATTGTAATAGTAAGGATGGCTGTAATTGAAAAGAAAGTTCACTCAAATTCACATCATACTGAAAATGAAAACATTAATATTTTAAATGAAATGTTTTGAATGTAACTATTCATTTCAAGTCATATCAGACTATTATAAATCTTTGGTACTAATAAATAAGATATGGTCTTTTTTTGCAAGTAGATAGTTTTGAAATGCATTATACTCTGACCCGCCTATTCTGTAATGGATAATGGATATCCCAGGCCTCACTATGTCATCAAAACCTCTTTTCTATGACTTTGTGCTAGTAGTTTTAAATTGAGAGTCTCCAATACATCTCTAAAACAGAGTAAAACCTCATTAATTCAAGTCCAATCAGCTCAGTTCTGAAATGGTGTATGTAATTCTCATTAGGCAACAAGTTAAAAATACTAAAATGTCTTCCTCTACAATTTCTCATAATGTTACTGTGAAATAAAGGAAATCAACCTGAAAATTCACTTTTCCAAGCCAAAGATTTATGAAACTAAAGACTCATCCATCTTCGTGGCCAAGAAGTTCATCCTCAGTGCTAAGGTCCACTTCTGTTTATCTGCTACCATATGGAGTGAAAGTGATTTAACTTGTTATTAACAGCCACTTAGAATAGAGTATGTGCATTTCTTTTAAATATCTTGTAACTCAGATTTTTCCACAAAGCCATTTTTGCTGTTTCTCCCTTTTCCAATCCTAACATTGATAGACCTATAATATCACAAATATAGCACCTTAAAAGGTGTAGAAGTAGACACAGAAATGCCAGGCATTCTTATTCTGTATCTATTCTTACCATTTTGAAAGACATTATAGGCCAAGAAATAAGTCCCAGGATTAAGTGGCATGTTTGGTGTTACATGAATTTACAACTAACTATTCCCAATGAACAGAGAAACCTTCTCTTGCAATCTGAATCATGTGTAATTACAGTATGACAAGGTCTCTCCTGGGCTATGTAAGCTGGCATTTTTCCCAGGACTTGTCACATCATGGGAAGCACACATACAAATAAATATCCAAAAATAAACATTTTAAAACAATAGCTTATAGAATACATAAAGAAACTTCGCAGTTGAGAATAAAAATTGAAGAGCCCAATGGACAAGCTGACAATGTCACCAGAGATGTCTGGGAAGAGAGTTGATAATCAAGCAGCTTACCATGCCTAGCAACAACTCCCAGATGTGGGCTATGCGGGCAGCACCCTCACATGCCCTTAGCCTGGACAGAAAATCATTAGGTATGGCAAATAAAGGGGAACATCACCACACACACCCGCTGAAGCAGAGAACAGTGGTGGAAGTATGGGAAGGTTGGTCATCTTTAATTTCATAATGCCCATTTGTTGATTGTTAAGGCACCTAAAACAAAGTTATCTTAAGAGCTACATCTACTGCCAACTGACTTAGTTTCCTAATGCAATAAATATGGCTTTTTGTGTTAAGTGTATTTCACCTCAAGGTGAACAGCAGCCAAGTAATCATAGTAGTGTGTACCCAGGATATTAGAAGGTGGTTTCTTTTGTTTAAACTCCTCCGCAGTGGCTCTGTGGACACACAGAAAGGGGAGAGCAAAATTCCAAGAAGCATCAGACCCAATCTCATATAGTGACAGAAACTTGACAGGACTCATCCTTGTCACAGTTTTGAGGAAATATAAAGTATAATATCCCTGGCTATCTTTTGATAGAAAATGCTAACAAAATCTAAATGTTATTTCCTATAGGCCATGCATGTTCATTCCTAACCTCTATTAGAAGCTGGTTCATTTATTAACCATCCAGCAAAGCCCATCAAATTCAACTGCTCAAGTTTTCAAGAGAAGCTATAAAACAAACCACTAAAGGCAAAATATACAATCCTGTGTCCCGTAACACGAGGTCTGGAAACAAAAATAAGCATCCACACAAGCTTCTGCCACCTCTAAGGCACACAGCATTTCTCTTTTCTTTATTCCGCCCCTGAATGTTCAATAATGTCCACGTAGCTCTAAGCAGAATGCATTTATTATGATGTTACCCTAAGAAACTGCAGGAGTTCTAGATGCCAATAAAGATTACGGATCAAATGGAAGATAACTACTAACCATTGTGTCGACTTAGATAAATAAATCTGCTCACAAACAAAGCATCTTATTGTATTTATATTGTTACCTCTACTAATCCAACTAAAACAACCAGACAGTAGCTTTCCAGAGAGGCTGGAGGGAATAGAAATCAGGATTTCTCAAATCCTCTCTCAATTTAAGATAATACGTTTCTTTTCTTCAAAACTGTTCTATCCTTTACGGAAAATGCTTAGGACCTCTGAAGCTGAGCAGGATTATGCAAACTAGACACCAAGGCTAAAAACCAAGGTGGGGAAGGACTGAAGAACAAGGGAAGACAACATCATTCCTCTGAAACTTAGCTTCGTCGATCTCTGCAGGGACCCTCTTCCCTGCAGGCCACATCGGACTGACACTTTGGAACCCTGCTCAAAATTGAATGAGCAATCAAATGTCACTGGGGGCTAGGGATGAGTAAACTCCCCAACTAAACATAAAATCCTGACCGTGGAGGCTGGGGGCGGCTAACCCATAAAAAGAAAAGTCTATGACAACCGGCTCCTAATGCCTCATATGCAGGGAGGAAGGCAGAGAAGACCCTAAAGAGAGAGGATTTCTCAAGACGGAACAATAACTACATCCCGTGCATTCTCTGCTAATAACACAGGTAAATCTCAATTTATCTAGAGGGAATAAAAGGTCCAAGTTGTTTATTCCCTCCAGCCCCACTCCCCACACCTCCAAACACAACAACTAATTGCACCTTCCCCACGGAAGCCGCGGCTAATCCCAGAGGACCGGTGAGGGCTGGCTTGGGATAAATAAACATTCGACACCTGACGGTCCTTTCTCTGCAGTGACTTTCACGAAGCCGAAATCGCACGCGCGGGCGGGAGCCGGGACCTGGCCAGCTCGGCGCCACGCACCCGGGTCCCGAGGCTCCGCCGGCGAGCGCGACGCGGGGGGCGGGGAGAGGAGCAGGGGGACCGCCAGGGCCAAGCAATTGTTTCCTCCGCCAGCAAAGACATTTTTTATCAAGCTCCTTTTGTATTCGAGCCCTACCTCTTTTTGGCCTAGGAAAGCTTTCGTGCAAGTGGAAGACGACTTTCTCCACAAAGTGCTGTATGTTACTGTGCTCCGGGCCGCGCACGAACACCATCCAGTCGTGGGTGAAGCCCTCCACGGTGGGTTTTTTCCTCACCTGGGCGCGGTGCCCCAGCTCCAGCTTCACCTGCACGGCACACTGCGGGCAGCGGGATAAGAGACAGCCGTGAACAACAGGAAGGCGACCGTTCGACACTGCACATTGCGCCTGACATTTTTTTTCCTCCTTCTTGAAACGCACATAAAAGGAAACGGCGGTGCCCTCTGCTTTCACGTTTACGCGCGTGGGCGCGCACACCCCACACCCCACCCGGCCCGCCGGCCGGCCCGCGGAGCCCGGGACCCCGCATCCACACCCGCCGGGGTTGTAACGGAATGTTACCCCCAATTGGGAAGGGGGTCCGGGGATCTGGGAGCACACTCAGCCACTACATGCACAACAAATGCATCGGAAACAAATTAGAAGACAATTAGGAGACGATGCCGGGGCGGTTTCCCAGCGTGGGAAGGGAGGTAGCTGGGACCCGAGGGGGGTTCGGACGAGCCCCCTCCCCGAAAGTACCGCGGCGACAGGCACACGCCGAGGAAGTCTTTGTGTACGTGTGTGTGTGCGTGCGTGTGGAGCGCTGTGCCAGGCGAAATGGAAACTACAGGCAGCCTCCGCTGATGGGCACAAACTCCCGTGCTCTTACCACGGGGTTCGTGCACAACAAAAATAAGACGTCGTCTCACACACACACACACACACACACACACACGCCCGCAGGAAAACACGCCGAGGCATCCATAACTTAAGGAGCCCCTCACCCCCAGCGTAAAGCCCCACGCGATCGGCGAGGCCAGCCTAACGGAGCCCCCGCAACACACTTCCAAGAGCCAAAGTGGCCCCAAAGTACCGCCCACCTCCCCACAAAAAATTAAATTCAGAAAGGCAGGGCGGCGGGCGGACAGCCGCCGAGCCTCGACTGCACACAGCCAGGCGCGGAGGCAAAGTTGCGTGCGGCCCCGCCGCTGTCAGCCCGCACACTCCGGCTCACACACGCGCGCCGCGGAGAACGCACCATCGTAGCGGCCGCTGAGGCTGCTCGCCGCGTCCCCGGACTGTGCCCGCGGCTCCTGGCGGCGGCGGCGGCTGAAATATGGCTGAGTTATTATTCGCCTCCTTCCACCGTGTGTGAGTGTGTGTGTTTGAGTGTGCGCGTGTGAGAGTGCGCTTCTTGCGATTGCAAAGAGAGGAGAGGAGGGAGGGAGGCGCGGAGGGGGGGGGCGAGTGTGTGTGAATGTGTGAGTGTGTGTGTGCGCGCGCCG